TTCACTACAGCATGTGCACACCTGAACTCAAACAAAGTGGACCGCGCGTCACCGTCTCCGCGGCAACCAGGTCCCCGAGAGCCACACTGAAGAAGCACACGCTGATGAGACAGGCTGACAGTGCTGGGGCCGTGACAGGCTGCTAGCATCATTTCATCTTGCCATTATGTGCCCAGCCACTCACTGTTATGCCCACACAAACACAGGCCTATAAAAGCACATCTCGTATACAAGAACGACAGAAGAGCCAATGCCTTCCTTCTCATTGAGACTTGTTTTCAGGGCGGTGGATACATGTTGTCATGCCAGCTGACAGAGATGCGCATATTAGCCGCCCTATAACCTGGCCATGTCTTCTTCTTCCAAACAATATCAAGAGCTGTGTGGAGGATGCATAAGACAGTCCACTCTTTTCGTGAAGATATAGATGTTGGGTGACACCAGAATGAGGTCATGGTGTCAGTAAAGTTGGGCCAAAAAATAATAATTCCTGGTGGTGGTTGGAGTGAGCATAGTAATTAGAGATCGACTGATAAGGGTCTGTTCATGGTCAATGCCGATACCGATATATTAGAATCTATTGAAGCTGATGGCCGATAAGCTCTCCCAATATTTCTAGACAGACATAGGGCTGATTTTGATCATTTCCCCCAAAAGTATATGATTTGAAATTACTACTACCATAGATATTGTTCATATTTTTGACTGCTCTGGATAATTAAAGTATAATAGGGGAAAATAATCTCAAAAACAATCACAACTCTCTTTTAATACTAAACCTTAAAATGGAGCAGGGTAATCACATTTTGTTTAGTTCCATTCTCGCACTAAAGTGTTAAATGAAGCTCTATATAAGCTCAAGCTAGACAATGAGATATTTGAAGCCTACTGGTCAAAATGGTTGACTTTGTATGATTTAGTTATGTCTGTATACCAACCTCCATTGTTTTGTCGTTACAGTTTGGATGCTGTTTATTTTTAATGCGTGTCTTTGTACATTACAGAAAAATAATGAAAAGTAAATGACAAAAAATAAATTAAATAAATGAAGCTATCTGTGGCAACTGATCAACCCAAATCAAATATCAGTCTATGCAAGAGATTTACGGCTAAAAGCTGATGTGCAAAAAAAGTGCAAGTATTGTCCATATATTGCCTATAAATATCGCACATATCAGTCTATCTCTAACAGTAATAGAGAAATGTTCACAATAGCTAAACTAAAAATATTGATAGCCGATTAAAAATGATATCTGCTTTTCATTTCTGACTTATGAAAACTGCAACTGTGCTGAATCTTTGGCCTATAAGTTGCATTGTTACGGGGATTGGCGCTGGGGGTTGGCTAGCATATAACAATATAACATGTAGAGCCGCTTATTGAATTTCACAGTTTCACCCAGTGCTGACCTCTCAACACTGTCACGTAAGCACAGCCCAGGAGAGGAGTTTATGAGGAGTGAGGGGATGAGTAGTGTGCATGACCAAACTGCCAGGTCACTGTAATGTAAGGACAGATGTGAGGCAGCTTTGGAGCCAAACAAGTGTGGTTAAGGTGCAGGCCTAGCTGTTGCTGTAATACTGACACTTACGTTTTTTTCACACTTGTAAATACAGAAATAAACTCCACAAAACTCCACAACTACACAAAATAAAAATAAAGATGTTGCTTATAAAAATGTGGATAGTAGATAGTCCAGCATTCTTTATACTGTATTAAATTACTATATGCAACTGGGCTGAGACTTTAGATAAGATTATGTATTATTTTTCATTTATACTACTGCTGTATAAATAAGGATTACATTTTTAATCTGTTTATACCATGGTCCCACAAATGCACTTTTAAATCTGAAAACCTTTTGGCTGTCCATGGATGTTCAAAGCATTAGTTATTTCTGTTTTAGTTGAAGCTAGTCCCTCCTAAAAATAGTTAATTTGTTTATGATGATTCTCACAACAACAGCAATTAACTATTGCCAGAACTGTGTGGTTATTCAGAAATAATGCACGGCAGTTAACAGTGGAATCCTCACTGACCATGGGGTAAAATATCCCTAAAGCCCTTCTTTTTTAGACTTTAAGGCATTCAAGGACCCCTATAATAATAATAACAATTTCCCTCGAGATAATAAAATATTTCTAATCTAATGGCAGAACAAGTCACATTACATATTCTAAAAACAAAAACAAATATTAGATCTGCTTAATGTCAATCTTCAGACAGTGTGCAGACAGCATTCATTTTGCTTCAACTCTCTATCCATGTAAGAGATGTATTAAGAAGGATGGAACAGAGCATTTCCCCAGCAGCAAAAGCACTAATCAATAGCCCACTGACACAACCCCCTAATGATTTAAGCACCCCTTCTTCACTGCACCTCTGCCCACAGTTGCCTTTGATGTTTGGTAATGATATCTGACGCGTGAGATTAACTGGAGAGAAAATTAGTAATGAATTAGTAATATCGGACTTATAAATATTTAATTCCTAAACATCAAGTCCTTAATGTGACAGGTTCAAGGGCAAGAAACATAATGGTAGCCTTGATCTTCACAAAAACCAACAAGCGCGCAAGGTCTGTCTCAGTCAGTCTCCATGAAGCTGAGATGTTACATTTAATAGTCCCAATGCAGTCCAACTCAAATGCTCAAGATCAGTGATGGAAGAAGTACTCCATTTTGTACTTAGTAAAAGAAGAAGTATCACAAGGAAGCAAAAAACTGGTACTTTAATAAAAATATTAAGAAGATATTGAAAGAGTAAAAAGGAAAAGGTTTTTCCTAGGTAGTTTCATTTGCATATTTGTGTTTGCTCAAACCACAAATGTGTTACAAAGAAACTCTCACTCTTTGTAGCAGGTGTCAAATTACAATAAAAAATACTTTTACTTTTCAGTCCAGTACAAAAATGTAGAGGAGTAGAAGAAAAGATAAAGATGCCTGCTCTCAAATGTGGTGAAGTAAAAGTAAAAAGTAAAGTACAAAAACCTCAAATTTAAACTTAGGTACAGTACTTTACACTGCAAAAACATATACCATACTCCTTACAGCTGCACAACAATTTATGCTTATGTAACAGATAACCCTATGTCCAATCAATCATTATATCATCTTTGCAATGTTTTTCCTTATGACCTCTTGTACATAGCTGAAATATATTTGTATTACTTATGTCTACCTTTTATTTTTACTTGTACATATACATTTACATAATTATGCCTTATTTGACAACAGGCTCTTGTTATTTTGAATGTATTACCACCATTTATATTTTTGCTCTGTGTTAATATAAAATATTGTGATGTGTGAGCTACTTTGTATACACTATTTCCCTTGTAGGTCAGTGAATTATGACACCAGATTGACCAATACTTTCTCTTTCATTTCCCTATATTTCACAGTCCAGGACATTGTCGGGCGGGGTTGGTGGAACAAAAATAAGTGTGTCAATGCATATTTTTTATTCTCTCAATAACAGATCAGATTTCAACAAATCATCAGAAATGTGCCAAAACATGCCTGCAAAATGTCTTGGTTGAACTTCAAGTGCTGCATAAAAAGTGAATGAACGGTGAAATTAAATGCAGAAAATGTAAAAATATAACCTTATGAAGATTAAATAGCAAGATTCAGTTTTGTTTTCTTTATAGACTATGATTTAGACTTATACAAACTTTACTGATCCACAAGGGAAATTATATGGACACAGAAGCTCACACATCACAGTAATAAGATTTATTTTTAAAAATGTATCAGCTCTTTTGGCAACACTAAAAGGTGCACTGCGCAACTTTTGGAGATGTTTTTGCTTTGCCTAGAATGTTCCACAGTAGAGATTAAACCTATCTCAAGGGAGACAACTATAGTCGCCATTATAGGTCAGATCTGTGGAGAGGTAGCCATATGCACGGAGAGAATGATTGTATTTTTATTTTTTTTGCTATAGATGTGTTTAATGTCAGGTTTAAATCAGGTAGTTGGGGTCCTCATGTCACTGCCACAGACAGCTGCCTGAAAATGACAAATATCAACCAAAAACTGCCTGGGTGTCTATAGAGACAGCCTCATGGCCTGACAGTCGTGAAAGGGGCTTCAGAAACAAAAGCACCTTAAAACCATCATGGCTCCCCTTTTACTTGCCAGATCAAGTGTGCAAGTCCTGCTGGTGAAGAGACAGCCCCCTCTGAAGCAGCTGCCATGAGGTGTTCCTTCATGTCCTGACAGGGGAATCTTTTCTTCTATTTGCCCCAAATTAGCATGTCACATTTATCGATCACACCTTTTATCTTGACACAGCGTGGCACCAGACTGGCCCATAAACTTATTCAGCTCTTTCAAGTGCTCGAGACACTTTGACCACCTACAGAACAGGGGCACATTCAATTATACCTATATCTGTCAGACAGTCACGTCGAATTAAGGGAGATATCAAACCACACATTTGCTTTAAATCACTTGAACCAGCAGTGACACACACAGAGTCTTTTGGTAATATAATTATGCATTATTATAGAGTTTATAAGTGGGTAGTGTAGCTAAAAATAAAACTGAAGTCAAATAGTAATAGAATAGAAATCACATTGCAGATATTGTATATATAAATGGACATATCTAGCATTCACTTTGTATTGAAAAAACATTGCCCTTCTTTCTGTGACTGCTGCTGTCAGGTTTGCCAGTTTGGCCTTAAAATGTTCATAACCCTCTCTACATGATCCTGGCGTTTTCATTTCACTATTTTGTCCATATATTCACTTCCTAGTAAGCTTGCCTCTACAAAGCTCTATCTTGTAACTACCTGTAGTCTCCATGGAGATAGATAGGTTTAATGCCATACTGTGGAAGACTCCAAAGCAATAAGATCTCCATGGAGACAAGCAAATGGTGGACCCACCATTTGAAAAGTTACATAGTGCACCTTTAAACAGCATCATTAACAGTTGGACCCTACATTATTTAGCTCAAACCTGTTACATGTAAACAGGTTAGCTCCTTACCTTAGTTGGTTGAAGCTGAGGTCCAGCCGCTTCGCAAAGTGTCCATACGTTTTCCCGATGTACTCTGGAATTTCTCTGCAGTCATTTCCGATGTAGGAAACCTAAGAAAAAGACAAACTATTGACTATTGCAGTACTATACCACTGTAATAAGCATTCACTTATTTCTGTTGGGTTTCAGATGGCGTTCTATACAGCCTGTACAGCTGTACTCAAAAGGAGTAATGCTGTTTTTCTGGTATGATTGTATAACTATATGGGCATCATGAGCAGTAATGTAAAAACCCAGGTTCAACTTTTTAAGAATAATTACAGACACAAGAATGTGTCACATGTCCCTCTTTGTGTGACATCATGATATCAATACTACAATGTAAATAAATGCAATTTGAATAGGTTAAAAGTGAAATGCAACTTCCTATCTGTTGAACAAATTGTGTATTGAATTCATAATCCTGTCATCAACATAACGGATAACATGAAGAGTCTGCTATCAAAACTCAGTGAAGTAGTGGGAGGAACATCTAAACTGAAAGTCATGCGTCAGCGCGTCACATGACATGGTGATGATAGAAAATACCTTCTATTTCCTGCATTTTATCGTTAAAAACTAAAAACGTCAGTGATGTTACGTAGTTGAAATATGCACACGTGGTGGCACCTGCTACAGCATCTTATCAAACTTGTCATAACTTACTTGTGTCCCGTTGAGCGCGATGCTACCTGCCATAGGTCCACTGAAGAATGACAACCCTTGCTCGCTCTTATTCCCGCTCTGGTGTTATGAATCCGATCTTACGCACACGTTTAGCATACAAATTTATGTTTTGTCAAAAGACTATCCCGTATACTTTTTACAGATTGAGCGTGTTGTAGCTACTGCCTTTACAGTTTCCGCGTGCCTTTTGAGTCAGCTGACCCTTCTGTTATGCGGAAGCACGTGGGTTTAGCGCTTGTTATTGATAAAGTGCTGCTGACTGTCTCCTGACATAGAGAGGACCTCATCAGATTTCTCCTTGGGTTTAAGGGGAGACGGTGAAATATATATTATATAAAATATTATGTAAAAATTACTTAGATTTAGAGAGTTTGGCAAACCATGTGACTTGAATTGCTAAGTTTAAATGAATGTCAAAGGCTACTGTGCACTTTGTGCGTGATTGCCTGATTATTACGCATGAACACTTTTTTGTCTCATATTTGCGTTACATCACACTTTAAGTTAATTAAAAGTATTATTTTGATTATAAAACTTCAAATATACATTACGCTGCTTACAATGCTGTTTTTGCCTCACAGTGTTTTGGGGGTAACTTTTTGCTTCTTCACGTTTACGCGCGTCTTCATGGAAATTCCATTAAGTGTCAATTGTGCATAAACGTTTCCATGGGCACCGCACGCGCTTTGTCGTGTCTTTACTGTGCTACACAAGCAAGACCACTTTACAAAAGGCTGTTTATAGGAGCAGAATGTAACCTACTTAAGTATAGCCTGTAGCCTATTAAAAAGAATACAATAAATATAAAATATACAAAAATATGATACTTTTATAACAAGGTAAGTAAAGTGTACATAAGTCATCAACACACTATGGATCTTGCAAAAAGAAATAGACAACAGGCTTAGATTATTTTAGAATTAACCTATAATAAAACTTTATGTCTGTTGGAAGTTTCAAAGTTCACTTGTTATCATCATTTAAGCACCATCAGTTATCATTTTACTTTTAAAGATTTCTTTTTGGTCATTAATCGGCTTAATACACGCAAACTATACAATTTTGAATTTTGGGAATAGCTAATTATTATTCTTATAGCCTGTTCCCAAATGTCACTGAAAGAAAAGTGACTTTATACCTCATTATTGAAGTTAGTAGTGAGTTATATTACATTTACTGTAATCGAGGAATATTAGTCAGGAACATATGAGTCAGTAACTACTCTCAGAAAGAGTTATAAGGTTGTACTGAAGTTGTGTGTTGTATTCCTGACCATGCTGAGCGCTTCCTGGTTGGGTGACGTCAGTAGCTCCTCCCACTCGCGGAACAGCTCGCTCGCCCCGAGACGGAGGAGAGAGAGAGCGCCGAGCGGGGAAGAGACGGGCGCATGGCTTCAGTCTGCAGTGCTCCTTGCGGTCCTGCACATGCATTCAGTGAAATAGTGAATAAGATTTCATAGGAGCAGAACTTTTTAGCAACACTGTGCTTATGTTTTTACGCGTTAATTGTAACGGTTTGCGTCGGAGTTTTGCTATGCTGTGAAGGTACAGTTGGTACACGGACTTTGCTGTAAACCTGTCCTCCTTCCTGCTTGGACTTTCAGACAGATCTTACTCGTGCATGTGTTTATTATTTTTAAACTAATCTATAGGCTAACCAGCTTCTCTTTTTTTATTTAAATTAGGAAACAATATGTCAGAATTATGCACATTAAAGTTATAAAGTAATTACAACTTTATAGAATTGTTAAAATTGTTACAAACATTATAATAAAAATTTATTAACAATTCTGCTTGTATTTTTATTTATTTATTTTACTTTCTATGCAGATACTAAATCAGTAATTCAGGGGAGAATTTTGGGATCTAGTTTAACTGAATTCTCTCTCCTGCATATTTTCTTATCACATGTAAATAGTTGTATTTGCATGCAAGGGGTGATTCATAAACATGTCAGGGTTATAAAATATATGACGATATTAAAACTTTCTATTTAAATATTATGAATTATGGTTGCAAAATTGTGTTCCATTTAAGGGGAATGCCGAGTATTTTGGTGTCTGCTGCAGGAGCCCATTCGTCATACGGACAATAAAGAGGGTTTTCGCCTGACAGTGAAAATTTATGGTTGCCCTTCTTTGCCCTAATAACTCACATATTGTGTCACGGACTGACAGGCCTTGCACAAAACAGCAAGCCTGTTATCAATCACACATCTTTGCATATTGTTCCCCTTTTTACTGCCAGACAAAACGGTGAGAGCAGTTGGAGGCACAGCGCGCACATTTTGGACTTTTTTCCTTTTTCTTCTCCATTCTTTAGAAATATTGCCAGCATAAAAATTACACTGGGCTCAGGAAAATAAATGTTGGTTTTTATAATTTATAAATGTGAACAAAATGTACCTCAGTGTTAAGACAAAATGTATATTAAAACGCATATAGACGAGGTGTTAAATAAAGGCCTGATTATTTGTATCTTCATGAATTGCAAGTTTACGCATGTAGTTCTACTTACCAAAATGTAAAATCTACTTTATATTTTTGTTTCATTTTATTTGATTTTGTGTGTCAGCTGTCCACTCCAGGTTTTCTTGCTCTCCAACTTGACCTGTCAAACAGATTACCACAGAAAGAGATTAATGGCAGAGGCGGGTTGCAATAATAATCGTTTTGTTTGATGTGACAACTTTGATAGGCGTTGATTTACTTACAAACTGATAGCCTTTTAATTGAGCGCCTCCATCCCGATTGAGATGAAAGGAAAACCGCATTGAAAAGCTGCCCGATTGCCCCGGAGCCTCAATACTGATTAGCCATCTCAGCGGTGAATAGTTCAAGGCATTTTCAACTTCTTTTCTCCGCGGCCTGACACCCCATTCCTCTTCTTTTCTTTCGCCCAGTGCGCTTTGCTGGCTCCTAAAGGAAATAAATCATTTTCATTGTATGTAAATAAAATCGAAGTGACATGGATATAAAATGTCTGGAGTTCTTTTTGTGCGGGGCTTTGTTGTTCTTGTTTTAGGTGACAGTGTCCCCGAGGCATGTGACACGTTTGGACAGACGCGTTTAGGGAAAATGGACATGGTTCTGTTTGGAGTGACTGTCTCGTTACGCACTGTCCTGCCAATATTTCAGCCCCAATGATTTTAATTGTAATATAAAATGTATGTTGTATATGGGTCTATCTTAAATTAATAGCTTGTTTATAAAGACATATTTGCTTAGTTAAGCGTTTCTTTCAAGTCTCCGCTTCACCCGAGGCTCTTTCCTAACGGGATAATAAGCAGACTAGAGCAAGTATTTGAGCACCTTTTAGCACTTAACATGTGAGCGCCACTGTCTGCAAGTTATTAAAGTTCATCATGTGTCCCGTCACCTCCAGGTGCTCTATGAAGAGATCAAATCTAGAACAGGCGTTGCTGCCAAAACTCTCGTGTCTATAGGGAATTGCCTTCGTATTGTTTCAATGCAGTATCTTTTGTCCATACACCTCCAAATTAAATGTGAACTCGGAAGATTTCTTCCTTAAAACTTTGTGTCTCCTGCTGAACCTTTCTTCGCATTTGTTCTCTTCCCACAGTCACACTGGCATGTAATCAGCTACAATGGCTGACATAAATCAAGCCACGGATTGACAGCGTCTGACAAATAACTGATTGATTGCGGTGGAGCAGAATTGACACTTGACGGAGGGGTGGAGACAGAAATAGAAGGGCGGTGTATATTATACTGAAAACATGTGACATTCACATCCCTCCATCACTACATTGGTCTATTCCTGTCAACGCTTGTCTGTTTAGGGAATTCAAGCCGAAGTGGTTGGTCTTATGTTTGCCGATGCAGAAAAAGTACCACATCTTGGCCGTGCGTAAAAGCGCACGAATGGGGCGCTAGTCTCTTAGAGCGAAAACACAGTAAGATTGAACAAAACGACTGAACATGAATGCATATATTATTTGGATATATATGCTACTATTACCTATACACTGTTTACAGAACAGTGTGTGGAAAAACAATATTTTCTAGTTTTAATGTTCTTCTCGCACCCATAATTGAAAAAACTGCTAAAATGTACTTAAATGCCGTAAGCAGATCAAGTAAATACAGTGTTTCTTCGTCGTTAACGCAAGAATGAAAGGCTCCGTAAGTCATTGAAGACTGGGACGCCCGACCTCCACTTTAAAAAGTGTGAGCGTTCCCAGCAACCAACGTATTTGCGCATATCTCCTCCCCCGAGCTGTCAAAATAGAGGCGCTTACAAAGAGGAGAACGTCACATCCCCTTGACCCTCCAATCACCTCAGGGTCCCATTTGATTGGAAGGCGGCAAAGGCTTTAATCTCGGACTAATTCAGCTGCTTTTGAAGTGAACATTTCGCGCAGTTCGGTCTTCGGGAGTACAGAGCGAGGAGCTACAGACAGACGCACACGCGGAACAGCGCTCATGGTGCAGACGCAGCCTCGGATCTGCGATAGCCTCGCACGGTCTCCCAGTAGCAGCGTCTCACTCCTTCACCACTAGGATTTACTTGTTTTCCTACGTTTTCGACCCTTTTTTCGCCCGAGAGAGAAGCTTGATGCATTTTGGCTTACTAGATGAATCTGACAAAAGCGTCGCCGTTTAATTTCCTGACTAGTGGGACATGAGCACATCGCCATCGGCGTCTATTCTGAAAAATAGCGATATTTGTGTAGCCTGGGAAAGGAGCAGTTCACGGAATAGCAGCTCGGCGAGCACCAAGCCCTTTCTCCACTCCGCACCTCCGTCTGATCCACTACGGCAAGCTAACAGACTTCCCATCAAGGTTTTGAAAATGCTTACCGCACGCTCGGGACACATTTTGCACCCGGAGTATCTGCAGCCTTTGCCTTCTACCCCAGTCAGTCCCATCGAGGTACGGTAACAATTTATTGCAACTTTTTTGCTTTATCTAGGCTTGGTGATATAGTCATTTCCTATGCATTTTAAGGAAAATTAAACTCTATACCCTCTAAGGTTTTCTGTGTTTTAAATATCTAACTGATAATATGTGCGTAAAAGTAGTTTGCCAGTATAACTATTATTTAGATTTTATGGTTTTGGTGTGCGTAAACAAGAAAATGTTTAACGCGTATGGTTTACTTAAACATCTCACCGAAAGACCAGTGTGCCAATAACTATCATATGCGAAAGTGACCGTTTTTATTATTATTTCTTTTACAGTTAGATGCCAAGAAAAGTCCGCTGGCACTTCTGGCGCAGACATGCTCTCAGATCGGCAAACCGGACCCACCGCCTTCTTCTAAACTATCTTCCGTGACGCCAAATGGATCTAGTGAGAAGGAATCTAAATCTGGCCCTTTGAAACTCAGCGACATCGGTGTGGATGACAAATCTAGTTTCAAACCATACTCTAAGCCTTCCGACAAGAAGGACTCGTCCTCTGGTGTCTCAGGAGGAGAGAAGTCTGGTTTCCGAGTGCCGAGCGCCACCTGCCAGCCGTTTACGCCGCGGACAGGCAGTCCCAACTCCAGCACTTCAGCCTCCCCTATGCCGACAGAGGGAAAGTGCGGGGAGCGGGAGGACAAGAAAGAGGGAGATTCTAATAAAAACGGCACTACGGACAGCTCTGGCACCACGAGCCACAGTCGGATAAGTGTGAGTTGTGGTGGAATAAACGTAGAGGTGAACCAGCACCAGGAGACGACGCCAGGCTCTAAAAACACGTCCTCCTCGGAGTCCTCTTCTGTAACTTCTGTTTCCTCTGCGTCTGTACTCGGGTCAGGACTTGTAGCCCCCGTTTCTCCGTACAAACCTGGACAGACAGTTTTCCCGTTGCCTCCTGCTGGCATGACATATCCGGGGAGTCTGGCCGGGGCCTATGCAGGCTATCCTCAGCACTTTCTGCCGCACGGTGGTAGTCTGGTGAACGCGCAGCTAGCCAGCTCCCTGGGCTGCAGCAAGGCCGGCTCTAGCCCGCTGGCCGGGGCCTCCCCACCCTCCATCATGTCGGCCAGCCTGTGCAGAGACCCTTACTGCCTTAGCTATCACTGTGCCAGTCACTTGGCGGGCGCAGCTGGGGCATCGTGCACACACGACTCTGCAGCTGCAGCAGCAGCGAGCGCCCTCAAGTCCAGTTATCCTCTCATGTACCCCACGCACCCCATCCACGGCGTCCACTCCTCGGCTCCCTCTTTTAGCGGACACCCCCTGTATCCATATGGCTTCATGCTGCCCAATGACCCCCTCCCTCACGTATGTAACTGGGTTTCAGCTAACGGACCATGTGACAAGCGCTTTTCCAGCTCCGAGGAGCTGCTGAGCCACCTACGGACTCACACTGCTTTCACCGGGGCCGACAAGCTTATGTCTGGTTATCCCGGCTCCTCGTCCTTGGCCAGCGCTGCAGCAGCGGCCATGGCCTGTCACATGCACATGCCTCCCTCTGGGGCCCCTGGGAGCCCCGGGACTCTGGCTCTGAGGAGTCCGCACCACGCGCTAGGACTGAGCAGCCGATATCACCCCTACTCCAAAAGTCCCCTGCCCACCCCCGGTGCCCCCGTGCCCGTGCCCGCAGCCACTGGTCCCTACTATTCCCCATATGCACTGTACGGCCAGAGACTGACCACAGCGTCTGCGCTGGGATACCAGTGAGACACAAAGTTTATATAAGATGCAAATATAAAGACGTTTCTATGAACTGCGCTGAACAGGGCAGGATCCGTGGACTTCGTGTATTTATTTATATGTCGGTTTAAAGTAAGCGAGAATAGCTGCAAACGGATCGAGCAATTCAAAGTGCATTATGTTGAGCTGAACTCTATGGTAAAGTCAAACACACACGTTAGACACTAATTCAAATAGGGTCATCATTTCGATGTTCATTTGAAATTGCTATGATTGTATTTGTTCTTATTTAATGTCTCATGGAAAAGAAAATAATTTACATGCATGTTTGTTTCTTAAAATTCAAATTGTCCACATTTTAAATTGCCGTTATTTTTCAGATGTAAACCTTGGAAAGAGAATTGGTATTTTTTTGTATGTATTCTGGAAAAATAACAAACGATTCTGTTCCATACTCCAGTGTGCCTCATTTTCTCACGTGTATACATTATTCACCCAAACTATATTTTTAAAATTATTCAGCACTTACAACTATGAATTGGCCTTTTGAATTAATTAGTTTGTGTAAAACTAATTTCAGGTCCATAAAGGCTTGGTTTTCCTCATCTCAAATGTGCCAAAGAATGAAACGCTGTTTGTATTTTAGAGCCCACGTGTTTCGTGATGAATTATTGTTTAAAACCATCCATGGTTTGAGTGTAGTGCGCTCCAGCACGCGCAGTTACTATTATTGACTTTAAAATGGCGTTATGTCAGCTGTGGTTATTTTGCGCAAATTTGGACAAAGGCGTTTTCAGCTATTCATCTGTGTTCAGTAACTTCCTCAGTGCGAAAATGCCCAAATGCAAATAGAGAATATTATGTTTTGTTAAAGGGTAAATAAATTATGAGGACAAATGTGAATTGATAAAAAATAAAATAAAAATAATGTATCAAACAGTCTGGCCTTGAATACAGTACATAATGTTTACTGTTATTATTAATTTTATTGCATTTCTAAATATTCACACTTCATGATTTAAGATCCACACAACCTGCACGTAATTTTAAAAAATGCTTAAAATTGTTAGTCTATCATAGTCAAGTTTAAAAATATTAATAATGTATAAATTTAGGGCCTGCATTTAAGTCTTTTTAATGCGTAAATCGGTCATGTGTTGGAACGTTTGAGCAGGGGCAGGGGCACACACACACACACACCCTTAGCCTGTGTGTTATAAGTAGTTAAAAGGCGTTTTCAAACTTACATTTTATTGTGTTTAATTTTTATTTAAATATCTCAATACCAACTTGCTCACACAATACAAATAATCAACACCTCTTTACTTATATTCTCAAATATGATTGGAGTCACACAGACGCTTATTTAATTATCAAATGATCCAAACTATCGCAGAACTGGACATTTTTACGCACAACATCTTCTTATGGTTGCACTGTTGACCCAGCTGCGCTCGCCCACTGTTCTTATTTATATGAAACATCTCCTCAGGTACGCCGTCCCTTGTCCACGGCCCAGCAGTTAGTCAAATGAAACAAACTCCTCTCGTGGTGCGTAGAGGGCCCACACGCGTCCTAAACTGATGTAATGACGGTGAAAGGGAGCAATTTCCATTTTTACCCACATCATGGTGGCTGTGCGCGGAGGTCCCCGGTGGAAGGCAATTTATCATGTGCCCCTCCCCCTGGCCCTGTCAGCGGAGGAACAGGCAGGCACATGTGCGCATGAATTAGGCAGCCCGGCTCTCCCTCCTTCTCTCCCTCCTTCTCTCCCCCTCCTCTGCGCCCTCCTCTCACTGTGGGGATGTGACACACTGCACAGGAACATGGGGATTAGAGTATGCAAGAGTAAAAAGTACACATTCACTTTGTCCATCAAGGCGCAGAGGCGTGGAGCCCAGAGAGTTTAGTCAGACCAAAAAGTGTGTTTCAACACACACGTTCATATGGGATTTAAAGGCCAACATTTAGTTGAGTAATTAAAAGAGAGACTTTTAAACTGCTCCTATAATCTTAGGAAGTATTTGAGTTATTTGGAATACTGCTACACTGAAAATGTGAGGTTGTGTATCTACTGAAACCACCCACACAGTGGTGTAAGCTTTATAAGAGTTTTGTTCATTTAATAGAAGCCTAAAGTTACTGTACATCTATAATTTATGACTTGAGCATATTTGTGGTATAAAAACATAAACAGTAAAATTCACTTGTATGGAAAAAATGTTAGCTTTTTATATAAAATGTTGCTAGTAATTATAACCAAGAGGAAACTTTTAAGTTGAGCAATAAAAAATATACACACACAAACCATATCTTAGCTTTAAAATATAGGCCTACTATTAGTCCAGACTTGATATTTAAAATAAAAAAAAATATATATGTTTCATTTATAATTTATAAGATTTGTTTTAGGCATAGACAAACTATTGATCCACAAAGGAAATTATATGGACACAGTAGCTCACACATCACAATATAATATAATAACAAAGAGCAAAATTATAATTGTTAATAATAAATTCAAAAGAAATTGCATGTTTCTGGACTGTATTTTATTGCTTTAAAACACAAACAAAGCCATGTTGTGTGGCTCAGCTTCTATCTCAGTTGCTTACTGACTCTACCCCATTTTTTCTGTAATAACAAAAGAGCAAACCATATTACAAAATTATTAAAACAAAGTACATAAACAAAGCAATACATACATGACATTACACAGTGATTAAAAGGTGCTAAGGCCATTTTGGATTTCCGCATTTCCTTGCACCTAAGCTGGACATCTGTTGGAGGGGGAGCCCAGGACGTGACTCACCCAGATCAGCCCATGCAGCCCGGCAGAACTACCAGCATGCATCGGAGCTGTCATTAGAGGGTGTGTGGTACAATAGAGACACAGCGTCATCTTAGCAAGCAAGTCTATAGTTTGGCAACAGCTGTGTCAATAAGGGAAGTTGCTATAAAGTCCTAACTCTTGACTCCAAAGCCATTATTATCTTTGATGCACTGTATGTGTGGTCATCATGGCGATAATTACAATATAATACAGGTAATAGCAGGAGTCCATCAATTTTAACGGATATGAGTTTTCCGGGATGTAGATTATACTTTTATAGTTCTTTTTATATTTTCAAAGAGAACTAGCAATACCTCTGTCATTATAGTACTAGTATTTGTATTGACTAATCTTTGAAGTACATATCCTGTACTTCAGTAGCAGTAAAATCTGTAATAACATCCCCAACAGCCAACTGCCATTATCTCAGTATGTGATTTATGATTATATAGGCTGTAGAGGTGTCCGCTGCTTTGTGATTGCAGTAATGAAGCCATAAAATGAACAGCATGAGACAAAGCAGCCACTCAGTGCTTGTAAATAGATCAGCAGCTTGGGGGAAATGTGTGCTAAATTCACTTGTTATCTCTCAGATTAGAAAATCAACATTCGAGCTGGTCATCTATTACATGCTGGATCTTCAGAGGTGGTTGTAAAATATTGACAAAAAAAAGAAACAGGATGAAAAACAGAAATCATAAAGATGATCATAAAGATACAAAGTGTACTGAGCAGCCCATTGTTTAGATATTGCATATTAAAAACACACACAAGTACATTTGTGGAATAAATGTAACAGGAGTATTAAAATTATGGAGTGAAAATGTGTCACTATTAAATAATTAAGATAAAAAATACACACTGAGCTACAAGTAATTCCAATGCACTAAAAATTATTAATAAGATTTGTTTATTTTTATTTATTTATTTATTGCTGTGAGTCCTAAAAATATATATTATTGTATACATAGAAGACACCCACAATTTACACATCAATTGATTGAAAGTTAAAAAGCTTGCTACCAAGAAGACTAAAGGTATGCTAAAATGTTTTTAATTCAGAAAGCATGCAGTGACAAGTTTGGACACTAGGGGCACCATATTGCAGAAAAAGTAAATTAAAATGAAAAAGTGTCATATTAGGGAGTGTGAAACTTTAAAGGCTACTCAGTACCTCCAGAATTTAATACATTCTATATCTGAAAAATAATTAACACGTTTTTCAATAGTTTTTATAATTCAATTGTATATCATTACATTCTTGCGATTATGGGTTACTACATAATTAATTAGATTATCAACCCTTTAAACACTTGATTTTATATAAATATATAAATTTTAAGTGTCCACAAGCCCACTGCAACATCCATGTATTTCAATTAATTTAAACTTCACAATCAGATAACTATTTAATAACAAGAAATCTATTGCTCTGTAGTTTAACCATGACAAAATAGCACCACATGTAAAACCCCCATTCTAGCTGGTCACTTACCACATCTCCCAGCTTTTCTGACAGCCCGATTTCAGAGTATACTCCCCAACTGTGCGCTCCAATCAAAGCCATTAGGTTCTCAAAAGTCTGTGCCAATCCAGACAGGAATCCCTATTGGTTTTCCCTTGTTCACGCGGTTCTAGCCTTCTCACTGCTTTACAAATGGAAAGTGCTCATCCAGGTGATGTGGGAGAAGTGGCGTGTTGATCTATCCGTGCCACTCAAACCTCCGGCCCGTACGACACCCGCTCGTGGTTAGACAACCTAATTGAGGTCATTTCTGTCTGCTTTGGCGATGTACGGTGCGCCGGGGTGTTTTAGCGCTCGGATAATTTGGCCATTTTGGGATTCTGACAAAGAATATATTATGGAAATGCACCCTTATTCCACGTACCTTAATGGAGTGTGCTGGAGTGGAGTGCGTAGCTGATGAGGTGGCTGTCTGTCACTGATAAATGCAAAAAAGTACAGGAAATGTCACTTGGAGGCTTGGCTTGGGAGAATCGTGTCTTCATTGGAAATCTGCAATGCACAATCACAAGGTTAGCTTAATGGTACAATATATATGGTTGATGTCTTGTCTATGGCATGGTGGCATAGAGTTGAGCTGTCTTGCCTCATAGTGAGAAGGTTAAGGGTTCATTTTTCCGGTCCAGGTGGGGCCTTTCTCCCCCGTGTCTGACCATTAACACTTTGTAATAACTAACTGTTAACAACCTTAAATAGGGGCTATTTTACTTCTATGGGGTATTAACTGCTAACACATAACATATTTAGATGACCATGTTAACCTTTATTGTTTTGCTATGTAGCATATATGCTATGCTATATTCACTGAAAACAACGTAGTAACATATTTTATAAGTTTCACATTAGTTTTTTTACACTCTGCGTCTCCTTTCTCACAGTTCTATCACAACACAATGAGCATGCATCCCACTAATGAAACTACTGCACATTGCATAAGATTTGTTGCTATGTACAGTTTTGTATCATGCTTTTGTTGTATATTTGTTGTCATGTGCGAGCATGTGTGAGCATGGATAATGTAGGCTTGTGGACAGAATCTTACAGCTAACTGTGAGGTGGGTTCCAATTGCTCCCAGGAAAGATTGCTAAATTACTGAAACATGCATGGATGACATCTAAAACCTCTTCAAGCACGTTTTTGATGAGAAAACAACATTATAACATGGTATACTGCATAATACCCCCACTTCAATAAAGCATGAATAAACACAAATAATTAATTAGGGTTATAAAGTACAATGTAATACCAACAGCATTTGAAAGATTTAATGAAACATTTTTAACAGTTAAAATTTCAGTCTAACATATAATTGGCATCATTGGCTCCTTCTGTGAGTAAACCCGGTTGGTGTGTCACTGGGCCTTGTACAGGATGGTACAAGTGCATGACCTATTCTCCATATGGGTGTGGGCCAACAATTATAATGACTCAGGCAGTATACTTACTACAGTAAACACATAAATTAGATAGCAGTTACAAAGGAAGTTGCAAGTTAATCATTATTTAATATGTTGCTTTATGATGGCGTAATAAGAAAGATTTACTGCTAGACACCATTATAAATCTATCACCATTGATCC